TGCCCCTGACCCTGTCTCCGTTCCTGACCCTGTTCCTGACCCTGTTCCTGACCCTGTTCCTGACCCTGTCCCTGTCCCTGTTGTTGACCTTGGTCTATGCTTTGGCCGTCGTCGTCATCAACTTGCTCGCTATTATCTAATGTCTCCAGTCTCTGCTCCATGTCGCTTAGTTCATGTTCGTCGATATCTGCCTCGACTAATTCGTCGATCTCTTCTCCCTCATAGACTGCGTCTTCCCCAGCCTGAGAATTCGAAGAATCTCCTCCACCTTGCTGGGCATACCCAATAGCGCCACGATAGCAACGATCTGTGCCGATCAATCGCTTCACTGTTCGCTTGAAGACAACCGTTGTGAAGTATTCAAGCATGCGTTTCGCATCGACGCTACAGTCACCTTGATAATTTTCATTGCAGTATTGCTAAAAACAAAAAAGAGAATTAGCCAAGTCGTCTAGTTTGCTAGCCTGTCTGAGATAGCTCATAGCCACATTTTGATGATCAAACATACCTCCCACAGCCGGAGCTATGTCTTATATTGATTCACTGTCGTCGATGAATCTGGATCATCTAAAATCATCTACAGCACACTTCTCGCCGACTCCTTCCGTGCGTTCGCCAGCGCCAGCTCTTCCTCTGTCAATGGGCCGGAGTGAAGGAAATTTGAGGATAAAGAATCAGCCTCACAACGCCTAGGGCGCTTAAAAGACTTTGCACTAACTCTAACAGTCTGTGCCACTGGTGAAGGCTCTGGAGTCGTTTCGTCAGTCAGAATAACTCTTTTTCTCCTCGGTGCTGCACGAGTGGATCCAGTGCGAGTACTTGACTTGGTTGGCTTCGTCTGACTGGTGCTTTGTTCCAAATCCATGCAGGTGAAATTGGATAAAATCTTTTCGTTGTTGTTTGTCATTTTGAAAGTGAGCAAGCAGGAATGAACCTTTGAAAATGCGAATGTGCCGTTATTTTTCTCAGCTTTAGTCAGGGGAGAGGGTAAGTCTACTCTGTGTATTGTAGGTTTTATTGTTTTATTGTGTATATGAATGTATGGAGGAATGAAGGCGTGAAATAAAGAAGAAAGAAAGAGATCTTTAGCATGCCATGATGACATTGTTAAAATTTCGATGGATTTGATGTCAATTCAAATTTCAGGACAAGTGTCGGAGTAAAAGCCACAAAACGGACACATGTCTTGTACGTACAGACATGAAACATAATACCCTTAAATGGAAAAAGGGCTGGATTTGGCATCATAATCCATTATAGATTGTGAAACGAAATTGCTCACCTGTGTCCATTCAGATGGACACAGGCGGACACAGGTGGACACAGAAGGATACCAAGTCACAAAATTTTTATATTTCGCTTCACAAATCTTTTTCCACAAAATGGATTTGTGAAGCGAAATAGACAAAATCTTTTTATGGTAGAGACAGTGTTAATGATTAAGACAGTTTTTATATTGATGAAGTATTCAATTATTTCTGCTATAGTGCGTTGGTAGCCGAGTCGAGTTAAAAATGCTTTGATAGCGCTTTGATGGTGTTTTGTCTTGTTAATAGTGTTGACGATAATGCTTTTTTCTGGATGATACTTATGCTAAACACCTTGGAATATCACAAATTTCACGACAATGGATTGCTTGTACATTGTATTTTCTCAGCCTCTTTTGGCTCAAGGATGCAGCCAACAGTTTTCTGCCTCTTGTAGCTACCTTCCCAAGTGGAATATCGTCCAGGCTTAAGCCTCTTTCGTAGGCTTCCGAGACCCCTGCATATCGGCCAGAGTGCGTAATTTTGGCCGAATGCACGTCGCAGGCACGCATTACAGCCGCCGTAGTGCTCATTTGGGTTCGGCCAACAAGCGCTTCCTTTCGGTTCTCTAACCGTTCTTGGCTTGTGCCACCCCCTGTTAGCACCTTGATGCTGTACCACTCGTCAGGGTCCGCAAAATTGAGAAGAGGCTCCTTGAACACCTACCTACAATAGGGAAAAAAAAAAAAAAAAAAAAAAAAAAAAAAATAAGGATATATGTCACTTCGTGTAATTGAATGAGAAAAAATCATACGCTCGCGTCAAGGCTGACGGCATCATTTACCTGGAACCGTTCTAGTATATAAAATGCAAACCCGCCCACGGTGCACCTTAAGAACAGCTTATGTCGATAAGCTGTCGCATAGAGTTCGACACCTTTATGGTTTGTCTTTCCACGTGTGATGCAGAAGACAAGCCCCGACGCCAGCTTTGACCCTGGCGCGGGGTGACGGGTCTGAATATTGAATGTGTTAGCCAGGTTCAAGTTTCGGATATCCTCATCCCGCAGCAACATATGATGGCGTGCAAGGAGGCATAGCCTCTCCCTCATATATTGAAATCGCGCAACACTGTCGTAAGGTCGCCTGCCGCTTACTCCAACCGTCGGAAGGTCGCCTGCCGCTTACTCCAACCGTCGGAAGCATGCGCCATGTAAAGGCCAACATACGCAGGTACATTTTAGTGTTGTAAGGTTCTCGTACGGCACAGGTGGCAGTGCGGGATAAGGTGCCTGTCGTTACTTTGTGATGGACAAGTTTCTCTCCATAATTTTTGATCGCCTCCGCTAGTGGTACATCCGTTCTTGGGTTTGGGGCGGGATTGGGATACGGAGCTGTCAAAGAAGACTGTTGCCTCCATAAGTATTGCAAAGCCTTCTTAACATTTGCGACTGTCCCCAGCCTGAGAGGAACAAAGACATTTTTGCTGCCATGTTTGTCCTCTGGTGCTTGCAGGATAACTACAAACGCGAAAGTATATCCAAAAAAAAAAAAAAAAAAAAAAAAAAAAAAAAGTAATTGTATAATAAAAAATATCAACCAAATTGCAACAATCAAAGATACATTAAGGTGGATGCAGGATTAAGGAATGATTTATTAAGTCATAATTTAGTAGGCTATTTATATTGATAATTAACACTGAATTGCAGCCATGGTGTCTTGTCACCTGGGGTACGCGTGATAGCGGAGCCTTCCCAAAGGTTTGGATCCCAGTACTGACAATTTATATATTAATACATGGTTATCTTTACATACCTTGTTCTCTTTCATTTTCAGTCCTGATAACGGCTGCAGTCTTCCGCTTCGGCGTGATGTTCTTGCTTGAACCCCCAACAGTTACAGCTTCATGTGATGCTCGCTCCTCATCATTCAATGCTATATCAATCTGCCATTGATGTGGGTCGACTCCTTCAGGTGGCTCCATATTATCCCAGGAGAGAGGAGCCTTCTTACCTCTCTGTGCTAATGACCTCAGCTGAAGCTCCAGATCTTCATCCTGTTCCTGTTTCTGTCCTTGTTCCTGTCCCTGCCCCTGACCCTGTCTCCGTTCCTGACCCTGTTCCTGACCCTGTTCCTGACCCTGTTCCTGACCCTGTCCCTGTCCCTGTTGTTGACCTTGGTCTATGCTTTGGCCGTCGTCGTCATCAACTTGCTCGCTATTATCTAATGTCTCCAGTCTCTGCTCCATGTCGCTTAGTTCATGTTCGTCGATATCTGCCTCGACTAATTCGTCGATCTCTTCTCCCTCATAGACTGCGTCTTCCCCAGCCTGAGAATTCGAAGAATCTCCTCCACCTTGCTGGGCATACCCAATAGCGCCACGATAGCAACGATCTGTGCCGATCAATCGCTTCACTGTTCGCTTGAAGACAACCGTTGTGAAGTATTCAAGCATGCGTTTCGCATCGACGCTACAGTCACCTTGATAATTTTCATTGCAGTATTGCTAAAAACAAAAAAGAGAATTAGCCAAGTCGTCTAGTTTGCTAGCCTGTCTGAGATAGCTCATAGCCACATTTTGATGATCAAACATACCTCCCACAGCCGGAGCTATGTCTTATATTGATTCACTGTCGTCGATGAATCTGGATCATCTAAAATCATCTACAGCACACTTCTCGCCGACTCCTTCCGTGCGTTCGCCAGCGCCAGCTCTTCCTCTGTCAATGGGCCGGAGTGAAGGAAATTTGAGGATAAAGAATCAGCCTCACAACGCCTAGGGCGCTTAAAAGACTTTGCACTAACTCTAACAGTCTGTGCCACTGGTGAAGGCTCTGGAGTCGTTTCGTCAGTCAGAATAACTCTTTTTCTCCTCGGTGCTGCACGAGTGGATCCAGTGCGAGTACTTGACTTGGTTGGCTTCGTCTGACTGGTGCTTTGTTCCAAATCCATGCAGGTGAAATTGGATAAAATCTTTTCGTTGTTGTTTGTCATTTTGAAAGTGAGCAAGCAGGAATGAACCTTTGAAAATGCGAATGTGCCGTTATTTTTCTCAGCTTTAGTCAGGGGAGAGGGTAAGTCTACTCTGTGTATTGTAGGTTTTATTGTTTTATTGTGTATATGAATGTATGGAGGAATGAAGGCGTGAAATAAAGAAGAAAGAAAGAGATCTTTAGCATGCCATGATGACATTGTTAAAATTTCGATGGATTTGATGTCAATTCAAATTTCAGGACAAGTGTCGGAGTAAAAGCCACAAAACGGACACATGTCTTGTACGTACAGACATGAAACATAATACCCTTAAATGGAAAAAGGGCTGGATTTGGCATCATAATCCATTATAGATTAATCCGGGTAATAAGCCCTCAAAAGAAAAGAAAAAAACACTCGCCGTGCAAGTAAAACAGGAACGGGAACCATGAAATTGGTCATCCTAAGTAAAAAGGATGAAGTTATTTGTACGGGCCCGTGCAAATATCTTTTTCCAAGTAAAAATAATGAAACGGTAAAAGATATCCGAAAACCCGGATTTGAACCAGGGACCTAGAGATGACAGACAAACTACAGTCTCCCGCTCTACCAACTGAGCTATTTTCGGATGCTCTGAAGTTTATCGATCTGCTACAAATATATAACTATATTATTATGCATAACAAGCCACTCACGTGTTTATTATAAAAAAGGAAATAATATGCGTTTGTGGCTGTTGAGGTATAGGTATAAAAAGCAATAGCATCATCGCTTGCATTCCATTCAAATTCTCCATTTTATTCTTCCTTCATACAATTTCGTTTTTTTTTCAACAACTGATAAACAATTAAAGATTTTTTCAATTTTTTCTGCATCATGTCTCTTTGCAAGCAAAATTTCGCCTCTGCCAGTGAAGAAGCTATTAACTACCAGGTAACTATGCAGATAAAGAAAAAGAAATAATAATGTGTAGAGCCGAAAATATATATATATATATATATAATATTGTCACTCAAAGACTTTTTTATAAAACTAATATTTTTATTATTGGATATTTACTCTTATAGATAAGTCAAGAGCTTCAAGCATCACAAGTCTATCTTTCATTAGCCTCATGGGCAGACAGTTCCAACCAGGGCTTTCCAGGGCTCCAACAGTTTTTCAAGAAGAGTGCTGAAGAGGAGCGTGAGCATGCTCAGAAGCTTATAGAGTACCAGAATCGTCGTGGAGGTCGTGTCGTCCTTCAGACTCTTCAGGCGCCAGAAATGGATTGGAATTCTCCTCAGAATGCTATCGAGGCAACATTGCAGCTTGAAAAAGGTTTGTGCTTTTTCTTCACTTTGCTTTTTTTTTTTTTTTTTTGTTATTGTAAACAAAGGACAGCCAAGACTAACTGTGATTGTATGATGGTATTTTACTATATTTGTATTATAGATGTGAACAAGAGTTTGCTTAACTTGCACAAGGTTGCGGATGAAAGTAATGATTCTCAATTGACCGATTTTATCGCCTCAGTGTATCTTCCTGAGCAGGTAGACGGCATTAAGAAGATTGCCGATCTTTTAACTCAGCTGAACCGTGTTGGCGGAGATGGTCTCGGATGTAAGTTGCTCGTGAAAAAGATATTCTCACGCCACGATGGTGTCAAACTTTTTCTCTTCATGTTAGTGTTTTTGCTGTCTGCTGACCGCTGACTTTGTGTTGATTTTTTTTGGTTTTTTTAGTGTATCTTTGGGACCAAGAGTTGTTGAAGCAGTATTCCTGAGGCCTGAAACCTTAAACATTCGTCACATCCTCCTTCTCCTCCTCCAACTCTTCCCTATCTTGTAAATTATATGCAGGCTTTTGTTCAATTCTATCTACAATAAAAAGAAAAAAGAAAAAGAAAAAGAAAAAGTATAGTAGCATTACACATATACGCATGAGCTTCGCTATTCATTTTCATAGATGATATTTTCTTTCAAAAGAAAAAAAAGAAAAAAAAAAGAAATGGATATAGAAAGTCAAGATGCTTTAGCGTCTAATTTTTTACGAATTGTTATCGGATTAAGATCTACCATCTGTTTTTTTTTTTTTTTTTTTTTTTTTGAATAGTTCAGCTAAACTGATCACAAAGCAATTTGTTTTGTTCACGAGGTCCAAGTGTTTTTTTATGCAAAAGGCATAGTTTTCTTTTCACACAACAAATAAATCAAATAAACAGACAGGCAGGCAGGCAGACAGGCAGGCAGGCAGACAAAGGAGACACAGATGCCAAGAAAGGACAGAAAGATAGAATAGAAGGATATCAGTTGGACTAACCTACGCCAATCGGAGAAGCGGACATTCGGATGATAATATGAGAATGGAGGATTATTAATGCGCTCTATTGGGTTGGCGTTGAGCTAAGGATGGAAAAGGAAATAATATGCCGAGATCAAAAAGCTTTTTCGTGAATTGAGCCGAATTGATAAAAAACAAAGCGAAAAAGGGGGAACTTTCTTTTTTTTTTTTTTTTTACGCGGGGAGAGAGGGAGAGACAAAGAGACACAAAGAGAGATGAGTTTTGCATGAGAGGCAATTTCGGAAGACAGTTGCCTTTTTGGGCTCAGATTACGCAAACAAGTAAACAAAAAGCAAAAAACAAAAAGAAAAAATGGCGTGCGCGGAGTAGCAAATGTGTCTGGGACCACATTACAGCCTATACGCAATAAGTACACGCACAGTAATCTTTTTTTTTTTTTTTTATTTTATTTTTTTTTTTTTATTTTCACTATTTTAACTGCATTTGTGTCAATCTTTCGCTTGCATATGACTCGGTGCCGATAGACAAACAACTTGTCCTATTGTCCTGTTGTCCTGTTGTCCTGTTGTCGGAAAAACACAGCTTCATCTTTTTAGGATGTCCTTGCGGCATGACCTCTGTTTGAATTCATTTATTTAAAACTATATCCATTTCTACTTTTTTAGACTGTTATTTGAAACTCAACTCTAAAATGTTCTCTCCGCTTCCTTTCTTCACAAGTATAAATAGGTCACTACATCATTTCTCTCTCTCTCTTCTTTACACTTTTACACTCATACTCACTTACATTCACATCCACATCTTCTCCCCTCTCCTTAATCAAAAGTGAAATAACCACCATGTCTTTGGCAAAGCAGAACTTCTCTTCCGCCTGTGAGGAAGGCATCAACCATCAGGTACACCATTTACCTCTATCTAAACTTCATGGTCCATCGTTCCTGCACAGAGCTTTCGATGTTCTCAAGTTATAGTTATTAACTGCTCTTTTCCTTCTTTCCTCCCTTTTCTTTAACAGATCAACCAAGAACTCCAGGCTTCACAGGTCTATCTTTCCCTCTCTGCCTGGGCTGGTCATGTCAACCAGGCCCTTCCCGGTCTTGAGAAGTTCTTTAAAGAGAGCGCTGAGGAGGAGCGTGAGCATGCTCAGAAGCTCATTGACTACCAAAACCGTCGTGGTGGCAAGGTCATCCTTCAAACTCTTCAGGCCCCCGAATCTGAATGGTCTTCGGCACGTAACGCTATCGAGTCCACTCTTCAGCTTGAGAAGGACGTTAACAAGAGCCTGTTGAATCTTCACAAGATTGCCGAGGAGAACAATGACCCTCAGCTCTGTGACTTTATCGAGTCTGAATATTTGGAGGAGCAGGTCGAAGCCATCAAGAAGATTGCAGACCTTGTCACCCAACTTAACCGTGTCGGTGGTGATGGTCTTGGACTATACCTCTGGGATCAAAACTTGTTGAAGAAGGACCACTAAAATATCTTTTCTTCGCTTCTCTTTCATTTTTTTTCTCATCATCATCATCACCATTTCCTGCCCTCTCCGTCAAGCAATATTCCCATGCATCCCATCTGCACAAAATATATGAGTGCAACAACCTCCACCACATTGTAATATAGCACAATCTTTAAAAACTTTATAATAAAAAAAAAAAAAAAAAAAAAAAAAGAAAGCAGCTTAAACTTCATCTTTAATATCAATATGGCATTTCTATTGAATTGTATTCTTTCTCTTAACCTTCCTTGAACAATTGAAGACTCTGAAGAGTTTACATGAATTATGGTGGGAAAAAGGGGGCCGAGTCTCGGGAAAAAATTGCCTTTTCAAGAACTGTGCGCAGTAAACAGAACGAAAAATTATTTAGAGAGCAGTAAGTTGATCACTCCTGACTATCACCCGAGAGTTTGTTTACTTATCATCCAAAAAGAAGTTTAAGAAAGAAAGAAGGGTGTTTCATCGTATAAACTACGGAGATAAAAGAACCCACACGCCTTCTCCTCTAGAGTTTGCCAGCGTGAGTAATCAAACTACATGACATGTATCATGGGGGTAGTTTTGTGCTTGATAATCTCCATTTTTTTCCACATCGTACCGATTTTCGTCCACTCTCATGACCGACCACATATTATATCAATGTTAAATCTGTCTGCGATATACCTGATGATATATGAAATGATCATCTCGATGTTCATGAATGATACAGAGCATTTTATTAAACCTCAGTGGTGCTGATTCTTTTTTTTTTTTTTTTTTTTTTTTTTTTGCATCGGAACAATTATTTGAATGCTTGCATAAATAGAACAAGGGGCGGTTTGCATTATGAGAAAGTTTTGATCTTCAATTGCATGATCATTCCATGCAGTCTGTCTGAAACCCTTTAATATTGAGTCAGACTCATCTGTGGCGTACTTCTTCCCCCATTCGTCCATGTTTTTAGTACGTTCTCTCATTCTTCCATCACGCAAGCCTTTCTTCTTTAAATCTTCCAAACACTTGCATGTCTACATCCTCCTTCCTCTCCTTCCCTTTTACCTCTTCTTTACCTACCTAATCCCCTCTCCTTCTCCTTCCTTCCTTCCTTTTTTTTTTTTTTTTGCTCCGTGTAAAAACAGAATTCAGCCATGTATTCTGTTGGGAATTTTTTTTCAACTGTCACGAAATTTTATAATGAAATCAATCCTGCAACACTCTCAGGTGCCATTGACATTATCGTGGTCCAACAAGCTGATGGCGAACTTGCTTGTTCACCTTTCCATGTCCGCTTTGGAAAACTCAGCATTCTAAGACCGCAAGACAAAGCCGTTGAAGTTCGAGTCAATGGCGAAGTTGTTCCGTTTGCAATGAAAGTCGGTGACGCTGGCGAGGCCTTCTTTGTGCTCGAAACGAATGACTATGTGCCTGACGAGTTTGCAACTTCACCTCTCGCTGCCCCAGCAGATGAGAGCGACTTGGCACCGGTTGACTACTTTGATCTTAATAACGCACACCATCAACAGCGAGAGCAAGGCAAGTTATTGGAAGGCTCGAGTGGGCAATACCCACAAGGGGACGAAGGTAAATTAGTTATTTTTTTTTTAACAACTTTTTTTAATCACAGTTGAAGACAGAAATCAGATCACCGACATGTGTAATCGCAATATCTGCGTACATGTATGCATTGCTGGCTGTTCTTTAATGTCTGACATATGTCAGAGCACAAAAAGAAAATAAATTCGTAATTCAGATCCAGCTCAATCCCCAGCCCAGCAAGACATATGATCCGGAAAAGATTTTAATAATTACCACGGTCAAAACGAACGACGATCGAAAATGCTCATCATTCATTCATTCATTCATTCATCCCGTGCACATGTTTATCTATCTATAGACAACGGATATGTGAGCGCAGCAAGTGGTCATGGCTCGGCCTTTGAAGAAAGTCTAAAGGATGACAGCGATCATGAGTCTGTTACCTCGTTTACATCTCCTTCTACAAAAGCAACACAAGTTAATGGAGACGAATCAACTGAATCCTTTGAAAGGATGCCTGGATCCTTTGATCCACCACACGAAGCACTACAGGAGCCAGCATCGCCTCTTCCTTCATTACCATCTAATCCTCAATCATCCAAAAAAGGCAAACAGAGTGCAGATGCCACTCCTCCAGTTCTCAATAAGGTGAAATCTGGATTTCCCATCAATGACATCTTTCCAACAGTGGTTCACGAAGAACATCCAAATGAAGCTGAATTCAACGCTAGTCGTCGCTCAAGAGAACGTCGCAGAAGCGGTATGTGATGTTTAACTCTTAAGCCCTCTAATTAGAAAAGCTGTTAGTGCTATCCTTCTCTAACTTTTATTTTTTTATTTTTTTATTTTTTTATTTTATATATATAGAGGTTCTATTTGACATGACTGGATACAAAACTGACTCTTGTTCAGAGTCCTCCGACGATGAGAACGAACTTCCGCGAGGAATTCTATCTGACAGCGAGCGTCATAATCGTGGCTTGAGGAAAAGGTTTAGCAAGAAAAAATCCGATCTCACAAAAGATCAGCGGCAGAAACTTCTGGATGACATCAAGCAAGGCACCTTCTTAAAACCTGACGATAGCTTGGATTCTGTGCAAGCCGAGCGTCAAGGTAAGCTATAATACCGTTTTTTGTTTTTTGTTTTAATCTATTTCCGTCCTAGTTCCCCTTTTTGTTCGGACATTGAACTCAATTGCTACTTTTACTACATTTTTATCCCTGTTTCTTAGCTTCAAGAGCTCATCACAAGAAGAAACGAGCTGGTATTCCGAGTGGATGGCACGGACGGAAGGGAAGAAAGAGAGCGAATAGCATGCCAACTCTTGGTGAACCAGGTAAGCATATCATTCATGATTTCTCTGCAGTATCGGAAGTATTGAGGTTATATATACTATAACTTACTTATTTTTGTGTGCGTGATATCTAATTTTCTTGATAGATGTACCTCTTCCTACGTTTGCAAGAAATATCAAACGCCATCATGAGTCTCAACCCAAAAAAACAACGACAACAGCAGAGGACCCCCCAAAACGAGAGCCACGTCCAAGCGTCATGAGCGATACTGAAATGGAGGTTCGTAAAAAAAAAAAAAAAAAAAAAAAAAAAAACGGATAAATTTTTTAGCATAGCAACTAATCATATGTGCTCTGTAACGTAGTATGAAACAAGGGCAGCGCCCACAGGAACTCAAGGGAAAGAATGGACATGGGGGTGGGGCGGATTGCCTGTGAAACAAAATAATCCGGACGAAGAAGACGAGGTCAAGGAGGAGTCGCAAACAAAGACGCCGGAAGATCCAGTTGAAATTGAGACAAAGGAATTGCAGATGGGATCCACGACCTGTCGTGTAGCGATTAGTCTCTGTGGAGAGGTGGAGTTAGGCAAGAATTTGGTATGTTCATGCACACTGCGACCACTGGCTTTTTCTATAATTTTATTTTATTTTATTTTATTTCATTTCTGTGATCAATAACGCTGATGCTCGACTTGCTCCAATTACTTCTATAAAGGTCGCTGCTCACAAGGCTTTTAAAAATGCCCAGTTGACATTTGATGCCTTCTCAAAGGATCCTGCCGCAATTCTGGCTGACAAAAAACTTGTTTGTTACATGGATGGGCGCTTTTACTCGTGGAACAATGCTATGCCTCAGTTAGTGGCACTCTTGTTTTTCCATCAGCCTCTCTCGGATGTCCCGAGCCTCAATCTCAAAGGCCAAAAGGCATCAGCAGAGCAAGATCGACCCAGCTCTACCCGATTCGGTACAATTTCTCGCTGGTTCAGGAAAACCAACACTGGCACTGGTTCTTCATCTTCTACTCTTGATGCAACGTCTACTTCTACAACAGTAGCACCGTCCAATGAATCAGACGCTGTCGCCATTGGTCCAGATGATACTGAGATACGTCCAGTGAACAAGGCTTTGAGAAGTAAATCTCTACCACCATTAGAGTCCACCAACAACAGTGAAAATGATCACAACCATATTGCTGTGCCTACACTATCCGAAAAGAAGGAAGGGGTTGAAGAAAAGAAGCGCTACGCCAAGACGCTTCGTTTGACATCTGATCAGCTACGCTTGTTGAACCTGAAAAAGGGCGCAAACACAGTCTCGTTTTCGGTCTCCTCCCCATACCAAGGCACGGCAACGTGTGTAGCAAAGATCTTCCTATGGGATTACGACGCACGGGTAGTGATTTCGGATATTGATGGAACCATCACCAAATCCGATGCATTGGGCCATATATTTGCCATGGCTGGTCGTGATTGGACTCATCTCGGTGTTGCCAAGCTATTCACGGATATCAGGAGCAATGGATACCACATTTTGTATCTGACATCACGAGCTATCGGCCAAGCTGATTACACACGCAAGTACCTGCAAAAAGTTGAGCAGAACAGCTACCAGTTGCCGGATGGTCCAGTAATCATGAGTCCTGACCGTCTCTTCTCGGCTTTCCATCGTGAAGTCATTATTCGAAAACCCGAGGTGTTCAAGATGGCGTGCTTACGTGACATCAAGAAACTCTTTGGGGATAGAGATCCTTTCTATGCGGGCTTTGGAAACCGCATTACAGATGCTCTTTCTTACAGAGCTGTGGCTGTGCCCTCATCCAGAATCTTTACAATTGATTCTTATGGAGAGGTCAAGCTGGAACTACTGAGCGCCTTCAAATCTTCGTACTTGGCACTGAACGACTTGGTGAACGAGATTTTCCCTGGAGAGCAAGTGGCACCTGAGTATAATGACTGGAATTATTGGAAGCAAGAACTTCCAAAAATCGATCTGCCAGACCTTCCATTGGCTCCAGACAACTATACCGGTACCGGATCATCTTCATTGACAACTGTTGCAAAGAGGATGGCATCGCTGACCCACTCTTCCTCAAGCAGCACACTTCACCAACCCACCTCGCCTACACAATCCGCAGTTGATACAAAGGGCAAGCGTGATTCATCATATGAGAGAAGCAGCTACGCCAGTCTCTTGAGCCGTAATGAGACGTGGACTAGTGATGATGATACTCAGGACCAACAACAGCACCATAGCCAGGAGGACACTACGCACCAAAAGTCGGGACCCGAGCAGCTGAAAGAAGAGTCGAAAAAGTCAAAAACTGGTTCTCCTTCTATGCTCTCTGCTCTTGTTCCTGCTCGATTCATGCGTGCTGTTCGAAGCGGCAGTACCGGTAACCAAGCAACGCTTACTCCTCAGCCTATGACATCTACGTTTACTCAATCTCCTAACATGAACCCAATCATAGACTCATTGCCATCACCATCCTTGATTGGACCGGACGACGTTGTGCGGCCCGAGCCGTTCTCATCATCTCCTCCTTCAGATGGTCTGTTACATATGGAAGAAAACATCGCTAAAACTTTGGAGAAACCACAGAGCGAAGGTATCGCTACAGTCAAAGATGAAGATGGGGACGAAGAAATTGCAGCAAAGAAGCTGTTGCAGCATCCCAATGCTGAAGCAGGTGGTGAAGATGGTACTCTTGAGGAAGAGGAAGGATATGGTGGTGAAGAAGAATATCAAGGTGATTACGAAGACGATGATGAAGGCGAGTATGGCGATGAAGAGGACGAAAACGACGAGGACGAGTACCTGGAACAGATTGGGAATGTTCCATATTGAAGAAAAGACTTTATCTGATTTAATTTTATTGCATCTTTTTGTTTGTATGATGCCACCTCATGTACCATACCATTCCATTTTATCATTAAAAAAAAGTATATAATATAAAAAAAAAATTGAAAAATAGTGACTGTCGCGTGGCTGATCGGAAAGAATGACTCCCACGACGAAAAATTGTTTCGCCCTATTTCCTTTTTCTTTTTGATCTTTTTATCCTTCAATCTCCCTAAAATACCCTCTCTTTTAACAACTCATTATCGCCGTCACTATGGATCCACACGCTCGCTATCAGTCGCCCCTGACATCGCGTTATGCCTCACCCGAGATGGCTGCCAATTTCTCGGATAACAAGCGCTTCAGCACTTGGCGCAAACTGTGGCTCAACTTGGCCATTGCTGAGAAGGAGCTTGGCCTAGACATTCCTGATGGTGCTATCAAGGAGATGAAGGAGCATCTTGTATGTTATTTGTCATTATTATTATTATTATTATTCTATGAAGAAGAGTAGAAGAATGTAAAAGCATGGATATCAACAACAACTCGGAAGCGGTTCATCGTTAATTGATATCGTTAACCGCGAGAACTCAAGGATCTCTTATATATGTTTTCCTTCATTTTTTATTTATTTATTGCTGTTGTTGCTTCTATTCATGGTGACATTAGTATGATATCGACTATACATTGGCGATTGCTGAGGAGAAGAAGCGCCGTCATGATGTCATGGCTCACGTCCACACTTTTGGAGTTGCCTGCCCCAAGGCCGCAGGAATCATTCATTTGGGTGCTACTTCATGCTACGTGACCGACAATGGTGACCTTATTATCCTCCGCGATGGCCTCGACATCTTGTTGCCTAAGCTGGCACGTGTGATCCAGCGACTGAGTGCATTTGCTGAGCAATACAAGGATCTCCCTACTTTGGGCTTCACTCATTACCAACCTGCTCAATTGACCACGGTCGGTAAACGCGCGACCCTCTGGGTTCAGGAATTACTTTGGGATCTCCGCAACTTGACCCGTGCACGTGAGGACATTGGATTCCGTGGCGTCAAGGGAACCACAGGAACTCAAGGATCGTTCTTGGCTCTCTTTGAAGGGAACCATGAAAAAGTCGAGGCTTTGGATCAGCGTGTGACAGAACTCTCAGGATTTAAGGAGTACTACCCTGTGACTGGCCAGACTTACTCTCGCAAGATTGATGTGGATCTGTTGATGCCCATGGCCTCCTTTGGTGCCACAGTCCACAAGATCGCAACCGATATCCGTCTGTTGGCTAACTTGAAGGAAATTGAGGAGCCCTTTGAGAAGGATCAGATTGGAAGCTCTGCTATGGCTTACAAGAGAAACCCTATGCGCTGTGAGCGCGCCTGCTCCCTGGCTCGTCACCTTCAAATCTTGGTCCAGGATGCCCTTGGAACCTCTAGCGTTCAATGGCTTGAACGTACTCTCGATGACAGGTAAAAAAAAAAGGTACAGCTTGCTGATCGGCGATGATGAAGTAAAAAAAATTAACAAAATCATTGTTTGCGTATCTATGATACTCTGGACACCAGCGCCAACCGTCGCATCTGCTTACCTGAGGCATTCTTGACTATGGATATTCTTTTGACTTTGTTGCAAAACATCTCGGAAGGCCTTGTTGTGTACCCCAAGGTCATTGAGCGTCGCATCAATCAGGAATTGCCCTTCATGGCCACTGAAAACATTATTATGGCCATGGTCAAGAAGGGAGGCGATCGTCAAGAATGCCATGAGCATATCCGTGTTCTTTCTCATGAGGCTGGCGCTGTAGTGAAGCAACAAGGAGGTGAAAACGACTTGATCCAGCGCATTCGCAAAGACTCTTACTTTGAGCCCATTTGGGGAGAACTCGATGCCTTGATGGACCCCTCCACCTTCATTGGCCGTGCACCTCAACAGGTCGAACGCTTCTTGAAGGACTATGTCCAGCCTGCCTTGAAGCCCTATGAGGAGGTCTTGCGTCAGGAGAGCAAGGCTGAATTGAGCGTTTAGAAGATTCCTTTCGTCCCATTCTTCCTCATCATCATAACACATTGTCATTATAGCCTCTTTATCATTCATATCGTCCGTCCACTTCGCAATTTTTACTGAAATTATATATCTTCATGGACCTCTGTGAACCAAACTAAGAGTTGATGATACTTACTACAGATAATACGTGCAGTGGACCTTGTAATTTCATGTTGATCCACAATGTCTTTTTTTTTAAAGAAATTATTATGGTATATGATGCTTTATTGTTTAATGCAAGTCATGACAATATATAAAAGTAAGAAAAAAAGAAATCTAGTTGGATCTATTCATGCTTTCCTTTTTTCCGTGGTCTAAATTCATGAGTTGATCCACTTTCGTCAGATGAAGCACCAGTTGCTGCCTCTGAGATGGAGGACGATTGATTAGCTAATAACAGTAGACCATCCTTTGCGTCTTCATCTGATGAAAAAGAAGGTGAGGACGACGATACGTGTTGCTGTTGCTGATGCTTTTGTTTTTGTTTTTGTTCTATCTGTTGTCGAACTGTTGGACCATGATCCTCTAAGAGTGCACGAATGTCTTGCTTTTCAATCCTGATCCGCTTTTCATAGATATGGTTCAAGCCCGTAGTCATCAGCGGCGTCAGTGGCGATTTCGAAGAGATAGAACCACCCAAAGCCTCTAACATGTCTGTGGTCTTATTATTCGGATTGTTGTTTGTGGCCTTGCCAACTTTAGCATTCGCAATCGATGCTGGTAAGATAGCCTTAAGATGTTGGATATACTCGATCGTGCTCTGCAAAATCGATAATTTGTGCAGATGATCCTCATCCACGCATGCGGGTACCAAATGCTTGAGTTGCAGAATCTTGTCATTGATACGTTCACGACGCCGTCTCTCAATCGCAGAATGCGATACCTTACGCATCAGGTCTCGTGTCTCTTGGTCAATCAACTTAGCGCTGGATGAGGTTCGGCGGCGAGTGGTGGTGCTTGTGCTGGTAGATGTTGGGCTAGATTCAGCACTGGTCTTCCTGCCTTGTGAACGTGATGACCGTCGAGATGTAGAGATTGGAGCAGAGGGACTCTGAGGGGGCAACATCATATATCGCCGCGGTGAGCTAGGTGCAGAGGAGTCTGCAACAGGACCAGCAATTGGGGACCCTACCGTATCAGATTCCTGCTGCGGTAAGGCGGCTGAATATGATCTTACTGAAGCATTATCATGAGATGAGCCATTACTATTAGTGGACGAAAGGGCCGAGGCAGGTAGAATCATGGCTGGGATGGATTGTTTTGATGTAAGGGGGTCAGAGTGAGGACTGGAGAAATGGCGAGGTTGATGCTGTGGTGTGGGGTATGGGGAGAGAGGCCCTAGAGCTGGAGAAACCATATAGCGAGGTGACATTTGAGGTGTAGATCTGGGTGAATATCCGCTATTGGAATGTACAGAGGGCGGTGGCAATGACGGTAGATTTGTGAGTGAGCTGTTGTGGCCGTGATTCGGCTGAGGTTGCATCGCGGGTGACTGATGAGGACTCTGACGGGGCGCAAACGGCTGGAGTGGAGGTGGAAGCTGATAGAACCCGGAAGACGACGATGATGATGAAGAGTAGTGGCTGGGATCAGTAATTCCCCTATGGGGTCCTGTGATGGGCGAGATCAAGCCATGACCAACACCAGGGGACATTGGGGGTGTGCCCTGTGGATAGAGCGTATGCAGAGCCCTAGAACTAGAATGAGTAGGAGTAGATGAAGAGGAGCTTGAAGAGGAGCTTGGTGTCCCTGTAGGTTTACTCAAGTCACTGAAGGTTGGAAGATGTTGTGAGGAACCACTGGCAGTACGGCCCGAAAACGCCTGGTCGTGTACTGTAATCGTGGAAGCGGCAGTTGTAGTCGATCCAGAATTCCTGCGAGAATAAGATTGTTGTTGGAACTTTGGGTCCTCAGGGCTCATTATAGGAGAAGGATCTGGGGTGACAGGCGAGAAAGTAGAGAGGATTGAAGCGGGTCGAATAAGTGCAGGACCACGCGAGTGGGGAGCGAGAGCAGGAACTATAGGCTTGAAATAGGAAGTAGTAGGTTTCTTTCGGGCGAGAGGATCCGTATCAGAATGAACCATTGCAATCAGCAAGGAGAGATAAGGAGATGTAGGGGAAAAAAGTAGAAAAGTATAAAAAAAGCAATAATGAGAGTAAGAAGGGCAATCAGATATAATGAAGTCGAAGGAGACGACTATGCGAAGTGAGTAGAGTGGAGTGGAGTGGAGTAGGTTGGAATGGATTAAGATAGAAGGAAGGTGAAAAGAGAAGTGAAAAGATGGAGAGTAGTCAAGGACACACAGAGCACACATAAAAAAAAGAAAAACGTGAGCATGGCTGGCAAACTAAACCGGGGCAAATACAACGTGATGCAATTCTGGGTCAACATGAGGACGAGCACCGATGAGCCAATTGATCGGACGGAAGCATGCACACGCCTCAATGCAGACGCTCGATTTGGACATATCATTCGACCTATTTCATTCCTGGTGACACAAACAAACTTTCACTTCCACAGCACATTTCTAACCCAGCAGATGGTTTTTTTTTTGGAAACAGGCGCTCTTTTTTTTCCCCTCATCCAAATGCCAAATGAGGGAGTGACCAGATCCATCGGCCACTTACGCCTATCATTAATCCTGAACGTGCTCAGGAGACAGCTTACAAACAGGGATCTTTACGCAACACTAAAAAAAAAAGAATCTTTTGTTTCTGTGCGCAAACATCAAATATCATGACCCAGCAACAACCATCTTAGCGCTTTGTTCTGTTATCTATTACCATGACCCAATGAGATGGTAGTATGTAAATCAAGGGGGTGTTTCCAAACCATTGACTGCACGTGGAGTGAGCCTACTGGGCATAGCCAATCCTGGTACCGCATGTAGTAAGTCGCTCAGAAACGCCCACTCGCTCGTCTGCCATTTAAGCATCTAATCACACATCGATTTACCCTGGACCATGCCCTGCATTAAATGCATGAGAGTATCCATCAAAAGTTTAGAGCATGTCAAAACTTTATGGGCATGTAATACAAATGAAGATTGTTTGATACTAAGAAATTATGTTAACAATAGTATACAAGACTGCCTGTCTACCTGGACCTTCGACAAATATCAACATGTTATAATCGAGGAAACCTTGCAAAGCAAAATCATCTGTTTTTCTCTGACACATTCGACATTCAGTCCAGCCGTTACTAGTATATTTATACATTATGGCGACATTATGTGGTGGGGATGATGCGTTCCCCAGTGACCATTGCTCTTTTTTTTAAAGATTGAGTAACACCAAATAGAACTTCTACTTTGCTGGATGCACGGTCACTGCATAGTCCACTTGTGTTTTATAGATCAAAAAAAAAAAAAAAAAAAAAAATAGTGCAACACCAGAGATTCCTGCAGATCATGATTCCTTCTCTTTCTGTATTCTGAAGGCTCAAAAAAAAAAAAAAAAAAAAAAAAAAACCTTGAAAGTACCGTAAAGACTGTTGAAAAGAGTCATTTTTGCATCTGCATCTGCAAGCTTTCTTAGACAAAAAGGTTATAAATTTTGTATAATGAGAGTGCTTGAACGTATGAGAAATTTTTTGCAAAGAAAACTCGGGATTTTTAACAGACGAGAGACTTGTAGGTTGCAAATCCATGGTATATAATATATATACCTACTACAAACAGTTATTTGTTGCATTTCCACTACACTCATTGAACGAGTCGCCTTGCCACCACTTCAAATATCATAAAGACAAAACAATTACTTCCAATATCGTTTCTTGCACGATACTAAGCACAAGCAATGTTTAGTTCATCTGCGACCTTTTACTGCGAGATAAATATATACAATTCATACATGATATGTATTATGACAGCGTGTGGGAGTTTGGAGTAAGTCTTGGATTTCTCTAGCTATTCTTCATTGGCGAAGAAGTGTTTCCAACCATGTGCTATAGCAGGTTGTCCAATTTATGCGTCGACGCTTGCCATTTTTTTTGCACTCCATCCGATTTGTATCTCTATGTATTTTTTTTGGTAACGAGGACCCATGAGGGCATGTAGGAATTGCTTTAGTTTTTTACAATATCTTTGGTTTAGATGGTATTTTTTAATGGGCGGACTATATAGACTACATGTAAACCTCCCCTGGTATCCCGCTTCAAAACGGACACGAGCACCCACGAAGTCATGTAGGAGCGACAACAAGCGACTCAATTTATTATATATATTTTTATTTTTTTTTTTTTTGATAACAAGGCTGCCAATGCACTCAAAATATAAGGAATCGCCACCAATTTTTTTTTTTTTTTTTTTTTTTTTTTTTTTGATAACAAGGACCCTCAAGGCCATGGGATTTATTTCTACACTCTGTGAACAAAATGCTCCAGAAACTATAGTCAATAAACAGCTATTACTGCACAAACGGCAAGAGCCGCTGTATCCCTGACCACCGTGGTTGGTACTCAAAGTTCACCTTCCCGACGTGGCCTGTTGCGCAACACGACAAATTATCCGCTATCCATAGTCATCAAAAACTTCATTCCACCTCGCCGCTCCATCACGTCCAGTTTGGTTTTCCCAAGGTAACAGTCCTGGACTTGGCCATCCGCGATCTTGTAGATCTCTTTTACATTCAGCTTCTGTCTTTGTCTGAGGGAAGGGACAAGGAAATCATTGCTACTACGTCTGTGCTCCCCAACACAGTTGCGTCCTCTGGCGCGTTTGCTTATAACTGTGATTCCACGGGCCTTTTCCCATTCAACGGTGACTTTACACCGTTTGTTCCAGATTTCTGTACGACCGAATTCCTCTATGGCCTTAAGAAATCGCCACCAAATGAAACAGTTTTTTTTTTTTTTTTTTTTTTTTTTTGATGCTATACATTGCAGAGAGTTACCACGTGATCGCGCTCATATCTACATATACTAATTTTTTTTTTTTTTTTTTTTTTTTTTTTTTTGATAACAAGGACCCACGAGGTCATGTAGGAATATCTACATATACTAATAGAGGTATCAACCGCCCCAATCTGTCGTAAATGACGCCTATTCATTTACCTAAATATGTATTTCCTTTCAATTTATTTATTTCCTATCATCCTATTTTCTACCATTTTTAAATAGTATTTAAGTAGCTTTTTCCTTCACTGCAAAAACGGCATCTCTCTTCTTATTATCGATGCCCTTTTGCAGGTGAGTTTATCTTCATTATTCTCATTATGAATTCTCAGAAAATTAGCAGTTATTAAAGATCTCTCTTCTTATTATCGATGCCCTTTTGCAGCATCCTCAAAATCATTCAAAGCATTACTTAGGATCACTATCGTATCCCAAAACCACGAGGCTCTTGCCCAATTCTTCATTTTTCATCATTACTACTAGTTTCCAGAGATCACTAGTAGATGCTCTACGACAAATCAAAAGAGAAGTTTGTATGGTGTAGTTGGTTATCACGTCTGTCTAACACACAGACGGTCCTCGGTTCGAGTCCGAGTACAAACACTTTTGCATCTGTTTTATATTCTTTTATACTGATGACTTGGATGAAAATTGATGTCCATGATCATTCAAAATAGCTTTTAGTCAAGCTTATCCCCCGGTTTTCGAACACCAACCTTGTAAGCATGTTTTTGTTCAAAACAAGACAGTTTAAAGTTAGATCAATCTAATTGGCAACCCAGGTACAGTGGAATCTCGATAATTGTACATGTACACTTTTGTACAAATTTCAAATTTGATATATTTCTAGGCCATTGGTTGGCTAAGAGCCTTACTCTTTTAAAAAAAAGTATTCTAAAAAACCCACACTCAACTGGAGTAGGGGAATCAGCAGAGGATTTTTAGAATAGTTTTTCATGAATTGTCGGCTTCTTAGCCAATCAATAACCGAGAAATATAGCAAATTCGAAAATTGTACAAAAGTGTACAATTATCGAGATTCCACTGTACCAAATAGAGTCCTCGCCAAAAAGTCGTAAACTAATATATTTTTAAAATACTCAATTTGAATTGAGGTCTGAGAAATAAGAAATTTACGTACAAATATTTTAAATCAATAAAGCTTATTTAAAAAAATATATGGATTACTATTGATCAATACCATTCTCATTCTTCATCCTCATCCTCATCCTCATTCATATTCTCATCTATCAAGGAGTAAAATGTCTTTCCCTCCTGAAACCCATAACTTGCCCGCATATGATGACTTAGGTGATCTGTATAACGAGCTAGGTCCTATCGATCTAAGGTTTTCAGGAACATCAACTCCACCCCGAAGATCACCTCAAAGATCACCCACACAATATCGGTGGATCACTCCTCCTAGACGTAGGGCCAAGGGTGTTTCTTCAAAGAAAGAAGCCAGGCAGTCTTCCATTTCCGCCGATTCAAACCCATTCTTGTCGAACGAGCAGAAGGACACTGATGAAATTACTCGCAGTAAAGCGACCATAACACGTAATGAATACGCTATGATAGCGCATATATTTAAAGCTATAACCGCGGAGGAGACACCACAAGCGGTTCGAGAGTGGTTTATGAAAACTCCTGATAGAGCGGACAATTTATCGGCTCTAACGGGTGTAGGGAGGAACGCTTGTTTGACAGCAATTAAACTTGCTACCACAGGCATCCTCGATATCAAAGATCGTGGAAGAACGGGATGTAAGAGAACTGAGCGTGGAAGAACTGGACGCCCAAAGAAAGAAATGGATCAGAATGTAAGCTCAAAGGTGATGTCTATCATAGTAGAATCAAACAAGGCTGGGACCCCTAATTCGGCGGCAATAGTCGCTAACCAACTTAAAGAAGACTATGGAATTGGCAGATCAGCGAGGTCAATCACTCGCGATCTTCATAAAATGGGCTTATATTGGGGTAAAGGGGTTAGACAGAACTTCCTGCATGACTCCAAGGAGAATGTCGCATTCCGAGCAACTTACCTTGAGCGGCGCCTCAAGAATTTAAGATTTATTGACGGAAATTGGGTGCCTAAAATGCCAGAGGTCTTCCTTGATGAATCCTATTGCCACATTGACCATGCTGCAGCAAGACGTTGGGTCCAAAGGCGTGGTGGCGTTGTTAACGACGCGGGAAGGAAACCAATAGTGGTTATATTCGCGGCGTTCGTTGTGTACTATGATGAAGCCATGAAAAAAGTCGAGGACAAATTTGTCAGGGACTGTCACGAACAGCAAGCAATGTCTAGCTCATGAATTGATGAATGACTTTTGTCTGATTCGAATCTGAAAAAGATCACGTGTGCTTGATTAATTTGTTCCGCTCATTTCCTTCACTCA